CGCTAACCTCTAAACCCTAAGCCCTAAACCCCTGGCTTTATAAGACACTCTAACTGGGTAGGCAGGCAGAAAAGCCCCAAACCACGACTTAGCTGGTCCTAGGCCCGTGAACCCTGCAACCCTAAACCCCGTTTAAACCCTAACACTCTGCATCCCCTGAAACCTTCAACCCTCAACCCTGCACCCTAACGCCCTGAGACCCCCAAAGCCCTAGTAGACTATCAACTGGAAACCCCAAGACCGCAAACAGGTGAGGGTACCTTTGGTTGGTGGGGAAAATCTGAGCATCAAGCTCGAGGATCGACGGGGTGGACGATTTTGGTAGTGTTGGGCTTCCTTCAAGGGATCGATAAAAGGGGTCTATCAGGATATGGGTTTCCTTCAAGGTTTCCGAAACCCTAAACCCTAAACCCTAAACCCTAAACCCTAAACCCTAAACCCTAAACCCTAAACCCTTCCGAAAAGGGATCTATAAGGGAGCTGGAGGTTCCTCTAAGGGATCGAAAAGTAGCCCTGAACCGTCTATAAGGGATCGAGAGGTTCCTCTACGGGATCCTGGGATCAGGGTTTTTTTTTGGGCGCAGGGTTTAGGAATTTTGGCTTTCGGGTTTTGAGTTTTATTGTTGAAGGCTGCAGGACGTGGGGTCTCCCTTCCAGTTTAGGGTTTAGGGCTTAGGGCGGGCCTGGGTGTCGGGGCTGTGGTCGAGGCTTACGGTTTTCGTCTGCAGGCTTTGAGATTCTGTGTCTAGGGTTCAAGGCTGAGGGTTTAGTTTTCATAGGGTTTCTAGGTGTATGGGTTGAGATTGGGATATACTGATAGACAGCACAAGGCTTGGCGCGTGCTTGAGTGCTGAACCCACTACCTGAAACCGAGACCTCTATCACATCACTCCCCACCATCAACTCTTACGCGTGTTAGCTTTTTTGGTGTGAAGCGTTTAGCTCCGGGACTATGGCTTGAGGTTTAGTTGTGACCTGCAGTCCTGAGCACCCACCTCATGCATTTCGGGGGCCGCTCTTTGCTCATGATTCGTTTGAAGGAGGAGACTGACACCCCAACACCCCTCACGCATCCATCCCTAGCAACCCTGAAATCTCTGAATCTGAAAGAGTCTAAAGTTTCGGGTTCAAGATCAGAACTGAACAAATCCAGAACTCAAGAAATTCGATATGATGCCAATAGGAAGCCAATTCGCGGTTTTGGGTGCACTGGGTAGGTCCGAGGATTCCAGGCTTCTGGAGATTCGGTCTGGGGATCTTAGGGCTTCAGGAGTACTTGTGTTGGGAATTTGCTACAATTAAACCCTAAACCCTAAACCCTAAACCCTAAACCCTAAACCCTACCAGGGACCAGGAGACCCCTTGAAGGAGACCCTTCTGAACCTTACTTATGGCTCTCTTAACAGGGACCTTATTGACAGAGTCTATATCCCAAGGGTCCCCCTAATCCCAACTCCTAAACTGGCATGTGGCGGGTCCAGGTTTGCACGGGTTTAGACGGCTTTTTGAAGCCATCCCCCTGAACACCCAAGCCCCACCCTAAGCTCGGCCGCCCCAACAAACTACCTATGTGTCTTCAACACCCGCATGAAGTCTTATGGAATACACACTTATAGTCCCTTGAACAATCCGTACACATAACGCTTCTTTCTAAACCTGAAGCCTACGAGAAACCTTAAAACTAATGCCTTAAATCCTAAACCTGCAGGAATCCTCAAATAAACCCTTGCTAAACCCTAAACCCTAAACGCTAAACCCTAAAACTCACAGAAACCTCGGTCAGGATGGCCCCGGCTCGAGCACAATCCTTGAAAATGCCAGCGGAAAACTCGCGAGGTTCAACGGATCTCAGGCAGGCTTGGGGATTTGTGGGGTTTAGGGTTTAGGGTTTAGAGTTAAGGGTTGGGAGTTTAGGGTTTGTTGTTTGGAGTTGAAGGTTTGGAGCTGAAGCTTAGAATTCAGGGTTCAGATGTTACTACAAGGCTGCCATAGAGGCACTACCAGGGTTCTCAAGTGTGTTTGAGAGGCTCAACAAAAACTTCATGTGGGTAGCCCTGGTATGTGGGCTCGGATCATAGGGTTGCTTACAATCTGCTTCATGCAGCTTGCTGTGCTTTTGATCTCGATCGTTATTGAGGAGTTTATGTGGCTCTACCGCGTCCGATAGGAGTCCTACACGTATGAGGGTGCATTCGTTGCTTTATGGCTTGGGGCAAACTCTAGACTTCAATCCGCCTGTCTTAGCACCCCAGGAGGACAACTCCACCTTACCCATAGGCCCCATAGTAGTTCCTTTTTGGGATTACCTTATAGGGTTCTATATATGAACCCCAAAAAGGAACTCCGTTAGGGCCTATGGGTATAAACCCTCAAGCAGGTCGGGGAATTGGCAGAGAACGACACGTCCTTCGCATCCTCTTTTGTTGTCGCACCCATCTGGGCGAAGTTGCAAAACAACACCGGGATGGAGTGGCCCGGCTCAAGACGTTTAGGTCGCGTAGGGCGTAGGGTTTAGAGGTAAGGGTTTCGGGCTTTAGGTTTTCTTTTGGGCTTGAGGTCGCGTAGGGTTTAGAGGTAAGGGTTTAGGGCTTTGGGTTTTCTTTTGGGCTTTAGGTCGCGTAGGGTTTAGAGGTAAGGGTTGAGGGCTTTAGGTGTTTAGGGTTAGGACTGCGGGCTTTTAGGGTGTACCTTGGAGGCAAGGGCTCACGGTTGTAGGGGTGAGTCCCGCCCAGAGCCCGGAGCGGCCGGGCGTCAACAAGAGGACTCTAAACCCCCGGTGTCTTCCGGGGAGACTAATCAAGCCCATTGTTCCGAAGCCCGAATCCTCGAAGCCGAAACCAGAGAGCCCACGACTCCTCAATTTGAGAAATCGTGCGTAGGTACGTACGTACGGACATGTGCGTACGTACATACGACAAGCAAACCTTCATACATAATACATACATACATACATACATACATACATACATACATACATACATACATACATACATACATCCATACATATATACATCCATAGACACACACACATACATACATACATACATACATACATACATACATACATACATACATACATACACACATACGTGCACACGTGCATTTATCACATTACAATACATTACATTGAATTACGTTACATCCATACATACATACATTCATTCATACATACATAAGGCATACATACATAACATCACATACAAACACACGGACAGACAGACCGACAGACAGACACACAGACACACAGACACACAGACACACAGACACGCAGACGCAGACAGACACAGACAGACACAGACAGACACAGACAGACACAGACAGACGCAGACAGACAGACAGACAGAGAGACAGACTGACGGAGTGACGGAGTGACGGAGAGGCAGAGAAACAGAGACACAGAGAGACAGAGAGACAGAGAGACAGACGGACCGACGGACAGACAGACAGAAACAGAGAGAGAGAGAGGGACAAACAGAGACAGACAGACAGTCAGACAGACAGTCAGTCAGACAGACAGGCAGATAGACAGACAGTCAGACAGACAGTCAGTCAGACAGACAGACAGATAGACAGACAGTCAGACAGACAGACATTCAGTCAGTCAGTCAGACAGACGGACAGAGACACAGACAGAGACACAGCGACAGACAGACACAGGCAGAGACACACAGACAGACACAGACAGGAGCAGACAAACACAGACAGACACCGACAGACACTGACAGACACAAACAGACAGACACAGACACACACACACACACACAACCACACAGGCAGACAGAACCAGACAGAGACAGACAGAGACAGACAGAGACAGACAGAGACAGACAGTCAAACAGCCGAGCGTACATGTGCGCGGGAAGAAGATTCATTCATGGCTGAAGCTCCATGTGGTGACTCCGCCATGAAATCAAACCCTAATCCCTAAACCCTAAACCCAGGTATACAGTGTTCCTCGTGCCGAAGGGTTCCCACATTGGCAACAAGATTCTGTTCGGCTTCGGCAATTTGGCGGCTGGTAGGGTTTAGGGTTTGGGGGGCTGGTAAGATGCGCACAATTTTTCGGGGCCTTTCAATGTTGTGAAATTCTGGTAGAGCATTCATTGGTGCAGTCTGACTGTATGTGAATGTGTGCCCTAGACTTAACTCAACCGTAAATTTGCCACTAAGCCAGCAAATCTGTAGTCTTGCAACCTCGTTCTTGGTTTGTGGGCGCCGCCCCGCAACCCAGGCATCATCCCGGCAGTTATGGCGGTCGGTGTGGCGCTCTGCACCTTGCCATGCTTTCTGATGGCTTTGGCCAGAGGCAACGTCTTGATGCCAGTCGGCGGGGAGCCTCCAGAGGAAGACTCCGTGAAGCAGTCCCCAAAGGAAGACTCCGTGAAGGAGACACCAAAGGAAGGCTCCGTGAAGGAGTCTGCAGAGGAAGACGCCGTGAAGGAGACCCCAAAGGAAGGCTCCGTGAAGGAGCCTGCAGGGGAAGACGCCGTGAAGGAGACCCCAAAGGAAGGCTCCGTGAAGGAGTCTGCAGAGGAAGACGCCGTGAAGGAGCCTCCAGAGGAAGACTCCGAGGACGAGGACCCTGTCAAGTTCTCCCATCGCGAGTTGGAGCATCTCCAGCAGATCGGGGAAAAAATGGGCATTGCTATGAAGCCGGTCTTCGTTTTGCAGCCTTCCAGCTTCACCTGGGCCACGGAGCTCTGGGTAACACAACTCAGCTTGGCCACTTTTGCGGCAGTCCAGCTCGTCATCTCGGCGATTTTCCACCTCCGCCTCTTGCTGATAGAACCTTTCATGGTGTGCATTGAGGTAGCAGAATATGCTCTGATCCTGCTTTGTTGCATCGCTCTGCTTCTCGGGAAACATGCGGCGGCGAAAACAACACGGGAATATGCAATCTGCCCATCGACGATCAGAGATCAGGATGGGGCTGCACAAGATGTGTCAATAGCTTGTCCTTTTGTCTGCCGTTGTCGCTGAATCCTTATAGGCCTATAAATGTTCGCACACCCTACACCCTGCACATCACTGGACCCCGCTTGCAGGACATCCAGACGCTGTTGAACAAGCATCTTCGGAGAATGAGCCTTATGCCCTTTGTGCCCACGCTTCTGCTTATCTACTGGTGTGCAGCTGCGTTTGCTGTGCAGCCAATGATTGAACAAGTCACACACAAGTCAAGGACTTGGCTAGACAGTTTGCAGCTCTTCAATACGCTCTACAAGGCAATAGGACTCCTCAACAACGAATGCCTTCTCTACTGCTTGTTCTTCAAATTCATGGTGGACGCGTCTGTTCTGGCTCGTACGGTGCAGTCTCACGCAGAGGCGATTGCAGAGAGAATCGACGTCAAACTCATCGAGGAAGGAGTTCTTCTCTAAGGGCAAGAAGAAGGATGAAATTGGCACCGAGTGGCTGGACAACCTGCATATCTCGATAGTAAGGTTGGCGAGAGTGGTACTGCCCCGACTGGGTACCATTAGTGGGCCAATCCTGGCATTCGCAATTTGCAACTGGGCTCTCGGGTTTCTCCGCATGTTCCGTCACTTGGCTGTTGCTGCCGATGACGGTATGTCGCGCAACACACAGGCTGTCACCTCCGTTCTGCAGGTGCTCTTTGTCCACCTCCCCGTTGGCTTGCTGTGCCTGCTTCCTCTGGCGCAGGTGTCAGATTCCTGTGATATACTGCAGGAGAAGGTGAACAACCTGCGAGAGGTGGCTCATCCCAGCGATATAGATCCCATCGATCGGACGGAAGCCTACATGCAAGGTGCCAATCGCGGGCAAGGACTTGGCTATCAACTCTATGGCACGGGCAGCTAGGACGAAATGACGTTACTCTCCCTGTGCCTTTTGATCTTGTTCTGTCCGTCCCTGCCGGGTGTTGTGACTCTTGAAGTCCTTGCATAGATAGAGTGCCGCTGCTGACGATGATGTTGTTGCTGATAATGACTCCTCTTCCATTCACGACCTGTGCCCACTCTAGCAGTTACCTCGTCGTCGTCCTCGTCGCGCCGTCGGTGCCGTCGTTCTTGCGGTTGATGTTGCTGTTGCCGCCGTTGTTATTGGAGGTGCTGCTGCTGATGCAGCAGCAGCTGCTGCTGCCGGTTCTGGTGATAATCTTACTGAACAGGGTCTGCGAAGCATGAGAGCAAGTAGTAAAGACACGGCATCCCAGAAATGGGCCCTGCAAGCCTTAACCCCAAAACCCTAAACTCTAAAACTCTAGACCTGTGCTTCGAACAAATCCAAAGGCATGGTCGTCACGAAACGTGCGCTCCTCGCCTTGTTTGCGAAAGCGGCGGGGTTGGCGTCCCTGGTTCTCTCCGCATCCTATCAGATCATCAAGCTGCAACTTGGAGTTGTGAAGCTCGGTGAGGTGATGATCATGTCAATGTTGTTGATTATGATGATGATGGTGATGATGATGGTGATGGTGATGATGGTGATGGTGATGGTGATGATGATAGTGATTAGGGCGTTTCGGCTGTAAGTGTTGAGTTAGAAAACTCGGTATCGAGTATCTTCAGCTTTTCTGACACCTTTCCGGAAGCTCACCTGAGGCAAAGCAGCTACCGGAAGAGCTTGGAGGAATTTCAGCATGCCTGAGCTGGCTTTGATGGATTAGTTCTCGTAGTTTCTTAGACTCCTGGCTTCTATGCAAAGTAGATTTGCCTGGAGCCCTGGTCAGCGCCGGCACTGCAGCAGATCAGGTCACAAGACCTTGACGGAGCTCCTTGTGGCATGGAAAAGGTGTGACCACTTCTTCCCAAAGACTCCAACATCCCGGAATTAAGGAATATATCTGAAATCATATGTAGTTTCCTATTATAACTTAAGGTCTATATTCCTTAGTAGTCTCTGAATTGCTGCTGTGACTGTTTCGCCTGCCTTCAAGTTACCTCTCACTATATGAACGATTGCATCATACCAAAGACAAGCCTGTTTGAGGTATACTAGCTTACCGGTTACAGCCTCTAGGTAAATGGGCCTATGGAACTAGCCGACTAGATAGGCAGTAGCTTATCGACTTTTCTGCAGGAGGGCACCTCGGTTGCAACGGCCAAACGCGCAATTATGAGGGTTTTCATGATGAAAACCGCGTGTTGGTGTATGCCTGGTTTAGAAACCCTGGGTCTTGATCAAAGAGCTCTTTAAATGGATCCTAATACTTTGGGATGATAGGACCAAGGTTTCTCAACTAGGTTCCTGCATTATACCGAGCCTTGAGCCCATCGCTCACCAGGTTTGGCATTCGCCTTTTCAAGACCGGTTGAAACTCGCTGTGGCGTCCAGGCAAGTTCTAGGTCACACCACAGCCACAAAGCCATGAAGTGGGTTGAGGGTTTACGATTGTAGAGTTTCGGGATGTTTAGAAGTTTTGTTTGGGTCTGCAGTAAAACTGTACTAGCTAGTACAGTTTTAAGCTAAGCTCCATAAACTCTAAATCCTTAAACACAACGCAATACAGGGGCCTGAAGAATTATCGATGCACTTCTTTAGGGTTCCTTCATCATAGTTATACTGTAATAAGTACTCGCAACCCTAAACCCTAAACCCTAAACCCTAAACCCTATAAACCCTAAACCCCTCTTCTAGTTCTCAAGGCCCCAATAAAACCCTAAACCCTAAACCGTCTGCTGACTGAGGGAGCGGAGATGCGATCCAAAGCCGAAATGGATCTTCAAGTGGGTGCGCCCTCCTTTCTTCATGAGGTTTACGATTTAGGGTTTAGGGTTGCTCTAAGGGTTCGTATCCCCTAAACCCTAAACCCTAAACCCTAAACCGAAAGGGTTCTACTCGTATGGGCGCTCTACAGGGTTTAGGCTTTCATCTGGCCTGGGGTTCAGGCCTTTGTTGGGGGGTCTTGAGAGGTTGGGGAGTTCCGGGTTTCTTTCTTGCAGATGGTGCAAAGTCCTCCAAGGAGTTCTGGGTGTAAAGTAAGTGAAATCATGGCCCAAAACCTAAGAAGGGCCATTATTCTACATACTTTCAGGGTCCAGGTAGTTCTCGGAGTTCGGGCTTCAGGGTCCAGGTAGTTCTCGGAGTTCGTGCTTGAGCGGTTTGTGGCTTGTTGAGTTTGAGGTCGCGAGTTCAGGGCCACTGTTCTTGCGGTGAGTACCGCGAATGCGGTTGGCATTTTGTCTGCTGACGACACGACTAGGATGTCTTGGACTTCCGAAAGCGCGCTTGGCGCTTTCAGGCTGTAGTGGGTTTTGCAGTTCAGCCTGGGCATCGGGTGCTGCGGTTTGGGGGTTTCCAGTCCGTCTGCTGAGTCTGCTGGTTTAGGTTAAGGGTGTTGCAGCGTACAACTGGGTTTAATACTTGTTTGCCGCACTGTCTGGTGCAGTGCACTGCAGTCAGTACTACCAGACCACACCCCCTGCGAAGCTTTGAACGCACCAAATGCCCGGAAGCCTCAAAGGAACCCTAGTAGAGGAGACCCCTGCCGCGCCAAACATGAACCCTAAACCCTAAACCCTGAATCACGAACCCTAAACCCTGCACCCTAAACCCTGAACCCTAAACCCTAAACCCCAAATCCTGAACCCTAAACCCTGAACCCTAAACCCTAAACCCTGAACTCCAGGACCCAAGTGCCTCGATGACTATCGCCGGCAGCTGGTCAACATATCCGGGAGCCTGGCTGCTTGCTCCTGATTAATAGGGTTTAGGGTTTAGGGCGCCTACCCAACCTAACCCCCGCCCTCCAAAAAGGCAACAAACAGAAGCGACGGTGTTTGGGGGATCCGCATTGTGATGTCCACTTTTGTAGGTCATTGGTAGGTTTGTGTGGTTACTGTAACCCCCTAAACCCTCAATGGAAATTGGGGCTCGGCGTCTTTCAGATCTCTTTCAGTGTTCTCCTCTGCTTCCCTTCGTTTCCGCGAGGAATGGCTTAGGGCCTTTTTAGGGTTCTGGGTTTAGGGTGGTTTTTGTTCTGACAATGACTACTGCGACCTTGGCTTCACAAGTATCGGTATTGTCCTTGTCTTGGTTTCATTGATCTCGTGACTCTCTTCGTGATGTCGGTCCTGGAGGAACCCACTGTATTGATTGTTTCCTGGTGGGGGTTATTCTTCCTGGGAATCTCGTCGAGATCCCCTACTTCAAGCCTAGGGTATCCCTCGACTCGAACCCAATAAGGGGATTAGGGTTTAGAGTTTGGGGCTTTGGATGTTTTCATAAGTGGTTGTAATTTGGTGACCCCACTCGTCCAACCACAGAAAAGAGGTGCTTGGGGTTCAAGAGGCAGACTTTGGAGGGTCACTGTGTAGTTTCTACCTTAAGCTCTCGGTACCGGTGAATCGTAGTTCGAAGGCTCACGTCCCACGAGCCGCCCCCCCGATGACCGCAAACGACGGACGTGCAACATGAGGGCTTTGAATACTGAAGCTTGAACAGTTGCCAATATTCAATATTCATAATTGGGGGTCCCTGTTCATCGCAAGCATACCATCATGTGTCCCTCAATAAAACTTTTCGAGTCATTAAGACTCCTATACTACATGATTCCACAGGGTCGTATTTGGGCGCTTCCGGGGTTGATAGAAGAGTTTTCCGTGCATGCTTCCTATTTGATTCACGTAATGCAGCCCAAGACTCCTAGACCCCGCTGTATACCATTAGGTATACCACATTTTTGTTGGTGTCTCTCGCGGTCTCTCTCTCCCTCTCTCTCTCCCTCTCTGTCTCGCTCGCTCGCTCTCTCTCTCTCTCTCCCTCTCTGTCTCGCTCGCTCGCTCTCTGTCTCTGTCTCTGTCTCTGTCTCTGTTTCTGTCTCCCTCCCTCTCTCTCTCTCGCTC